TTCCAATCCCATTCCCTCGCTATGAGATCCAGACCATTGTCGTCCGAAATTTGTTTCCTGCCTCTCATAACTTTTCCGAAGATATGCCGATGTTTAGATTTAACGATAGCAAGAGTATTATGTCTATGACTGGTTTCATCTAGATCCCTCTGTATCATCCACATAATGTAGGCCTAGGCCTATCTGTCTCTTCTGCCTTTCCCCTTGTTTTGCACATAAGAATAACTTTCACCATGTCTTCACCTAAAGAACTTCGTTCCGTGTCAAGCCTAATATTAGACCTATACTACCTTTGATCTTAAGCTTAGAAACATTCCTCTCATGTGCACAGCACTATAATTTAAAAAAATGTCAAGAAAAACATTGAAAGGCATCCTCTAGAAAGCTTCTTTAACAATTGACTTTCAAATGCAAAGAAGTCTTTCTAACATGAAGTAAAAGCTTAACTGAACAATATGCTAACGTTTTGCAGCAGCCTCTTGAAACTTTTTTTGGAGCTTATTGTAAACAGTAATAATTAGGACATATAAACTAATAGAAAATCCAGAATTCATTAATTGATGGTAGGTAATATTAAAGTCAGTTTTCATTTAATGATCTTTAGCCTGCCAATTATTTATTAACTAAAACTAAAACTAAATTAAATTCAAACAAAATTGACTAGTAACCAGCAATGGTATAGGCCTCATAAAGACTCCATAGAACTTATTCTCTTGTAATTGGTCAATTGCAAATGATTGGTCAGTGTTGGTTGGTCCACATGTTCACTGGTTTTTTCTTATTAGTCTTACTTTAGCACTTAATACCCTGTTTTGTTCATCTGTTCTATGGTACTTTACTTCTTGAACAGGTGTCACCTGCTATCAACAATAGGTGCTAACTAATTAAATTTACACTAACTCTGTCTGTTTAAGCACCCATAGCTAACTGTATCATGCTATTGATCATAGAACTTCTTTGACTCAGCCAGATAGAATATCTAACCATTTATCTTCATGATTTCTTTCTTATGCACTTAGCTGGACATTTTATAATGTAGTCTCATAGCTGTCACCTTAAGAACTCCAGCATTGAATTCTCCTCTTAGATATGTTTGAGGTCACCTCTATTTTATATTTCTTCTGCATCCGTTGTTCATCTTCGTATTGCCGTAACTTTTAATTGAAATCCATTTACACTTAATTAGGGTGCTGTGTCAATTCTTCTCATTTCATCATAGAGGTCACTCTCTCCAATATAGGTTTTTTCTTTTCTGAAATGTATGGTCATTTCCTTCTGATCACACAAGAGTGTTGTCTTAGGTGCATCTCCAAGCTTCAACTATCAACCTGTTAATTGAAGGAGTGCTGATTGAAATCTGATTCCAAAGCTATTTTTTGAACCAGAAGCTGAAACTTTCCATACCAATTGCCTGGAAAAAAGCAGGATCTAGACCAGGTTTGCACTCTCCTCATATATCTAGACATTTTTGTTTCTATTTCCATGCATCCTCCAGTTTTCCAAAATGGTTTGCTCAAGAAAGAAAGGATGGGTAAAAGTATGCATAAACCAATAGATCTGAATTTATAATCTCAGATGGAGTCAGAGTAGGGATGGGCTGGTTTAGGTTGAACCCATGCTTGCATGTTGGAGTCAATTGAGATGGTGTCAAACTCTGACTGAAAAACTCTCAAGAAGCTTCACCACTTCTTCCATGTGCATTGGTCAGACTGCTATAAACATGTGGTTCCCATTGTGAAGTGAACATGTAGACCCAGTGCTAACAGCACCGATACAAAATTCCTGGCTTGTTCAAGTTGAACATGATATGAGAGGAGGTGCATGTGAACCTAAAAGCCAAAACTAGTTCCTGCCGCATGTTTCAGTTACAAGCTCTCCAACATGAGGAAACATGTCTGCTTTGCATGTCAATTCGTAAAGATATTCATTTATGATGGAACAGCCTTCAGAAACTGCGAGAGACAGTTTCTTGAGTTTTGGCATGGATATTGAAGTAATTTAATGGTAAAAGTGGTTTCTTCAGCATGATTTCTTTTAGAAGAAAAAATGAATACAGTATGACTTTTGTGAAAATTTTCATTTGCCAGATAATCAGTTGATTGTACCTGTGACTTTAGGACACCAGGATTTTTACTTTAGATGGCCTTATTCCTGACACATATCCTTGTAACTTCTATTTTCAGCTAACCCTTGTCTGAAATTTATGCCTGTTTTTATTGGGTGTTTAGGTCAGTGTGAGGGTTAAGATTGGTTGATTCCATGGGTTGCTGACATCAAAGCTATTACCAGACAGACTATGGTGTTCATCTCCTCTGGACCGAAAAAGAAGGATAAAGCCTTAATTCTGAATTCTGTGCTCACTGCATCACACGCAAAAAGGTATGTTGAACATAATGAGAGTTTCATGTCTTTATTCCTTGGAGGAAAACTGAAACTCCTTGCCCAAGGTCTTTCTTGCCGATCATAGGTTAAGTACAGACACAAAAATTATAGGTAATAAATCATTAAAAATAATTTGATCATAGATGAAACATCTTGAAATCCTTTTCCTACTCTTGGGCATTTGGAGACCATAGGCACATTTCATGGCTATTACTCACAAGACATAAAGATTCCCCATTCTAATCCAAAATATGAGGAATTTGGTAGGGCAAGGTAAGGCTCATCTCAGAAAATTAGCATTTTCATTCTAAGTTACACTTTTTCTGCATTCTAAAGGGGAAGCATGCAAAACCTGTCTGCCCAATATCATCTTGTTTCACCACCTGATTCAAGGTCATACATACAAACAAGTTTAATATTAGACCAGGTGTGTCACTACTAGGCTCAGGTTTTATTGCAGAATCTGAAGACTCTAGTAGGCCTTGGCTTAGCTTTGGATGCCCATCCCAGACAATGAATATTTCCATTCTCAATTAAATTTGATCCATAATGAAACAAGAAAGGGGAAGCATTGAAACCTGTCTGTTCAATATAGTAATGTTCAACTCCTGGTTTAGGCTTTACCTATAATCATTGCCTAACTCTGAGCAAGACTTTGGCTGATTTGAATGCCAATCAACTTCACCATACAGGGTGAGCTAAAGAATAAACCATTCAGTTTTCAACAATACACGACACTTCACTCACTGCATATATTTTAATGCAGTTTGCAGCATTTGAAAGAGGTATGAATAAGCTTTAAAATTGTGTACTTGCATTTCAGATATCTTCAAAAGTTTTAAGGATTCAGAAGCTCACATGACCAACAAATAAAAACTGCATTACCAGGCACTCAGATTCAGACAGAATGTGATCTTTAGCTGACATTTATCCATTCCTAGTTTTTCCACAAAAAAAAAACAGTTTTTGTTTGCTGTTCATATAAGCTTCTGAATTTCTGAAACTGTTGGAAGGTATTTGAAATGTTAGTATTCCACTTTCAAGTTTATTCATTCCTCTTTCAAATCCCATGAACTGCATTAAAATACCTGCTGTGAGTGCTGTATGTGTGAGAGCGAAAACTGTCATGTTTTTTTGGCTCACCATGTACATTTAACCTTCGCCTAAGCCTGCTTTGACCAAATACCAGTTTGTATTATATGTAACACCAGAGGAAACGTTAGTCTCACTATTGTTGGTGCACGTTTAGAAAAAATTAGTTTTCATTAAAATGGTGTGTGAACTCATCACAAAAGTCTCTCTCATGTCTCATCTCATGTCCATCTCATATCCACATGGTGGTGAAATGATTCTAGATGAGGAAAGTCAGAAAGGAAGTGAAAAATAGTCAGACATGTCACTTTTTGTCAAAGTTCCTAGAGTGACATCTTTTGCAACGAATATGTTGAGAACTACAGCTACATTGTGTAGCACCAGGCCATTGAGGTTGGTATTGTGATTGCAGCAGATTCCTGAGAGCTTAGTTTGTTGTCCTGCTGGCAGGACCAGATAGAGCTGTCAGTACCAGTGGAATCTTCATGGGTTTCAATCATCCTACAGAAATTTTGTGCTAGAGGGTAGGTGGGGTTCAGTTAAATTGTGGTTTTAACCAGGCCCTACTCTTTCAATGCAGTTTCCAGTATGTTTCTTTTAAGAGATTGAAAATATTGTTTTCTATTGTCTCAATAGTCTTTGCATAGAATTGCCCATAGATGTTGGTTGGAATAAGATTGAATAGATTAACCCTTTGGTGGTTAATTATTTCTGCTTTACTGGTAATGCTCAAATTGAGCTCTTTTTTTGCACTTTTTGTGGATCACTAAAATTTAGATTCTGACCATATTTCCTGCGTTATTTATTTATGTTTACCCATTTTTGGGTTGGCTGATGTGGGGTAGTCAGATGCTTACATTTTTGTTTTGTGCCTCATTCCTAGGATGCGATTTGAATTCAGTACCTTCATGTTTACTGGAATAGTTTAGACTCAGCACAAAATATTGCCAAAACTCCCTTTGAACTCTGATGGGACTCTCTAAGACCTCCATCCAGATGGCAACATTCCTTCATTGCTCAAGTACAAATTGTGAAGCCTTTTCTCAGGACAGTGAAAGCAAATTAAATGAAATTATGTTTTTTTGTTTCTCAAGTCTGTCCAAAATTAAGAGAGAGAAACATCAAGTTTAGGAATTTTGTTAAAAGAGGATTCAACAAGGTGTACCATAAATCACCTTGAAGACGTAAACCTTTTTTTAAGTATGCTTTTGAAGCAATTTCTGTTTGAGTCTGATTCCAAGTCATTATTGGGAAGGAAAAAATTCTGAAGAACATTCTTTCTATCAATGGTGACAACAGTGATTTGCTCGTTGCAGTTTGGAAAATATTGCAATTTGAAATGGTATGATGACTTACAGGACACCCTGTGCATCTGAAAAGTCTGGCTTTATCAACCTTGGTATCCAATTCAGAATTATCCCTTCCTAGCACCTGTTCCAGTATTCATGCACTAGACCTAATAAGCTTTGTGGCTCTGCCCCACACCTTTGCTTTCTCAAGTAGGACTTTGAGAACTTGCCTCTACAATGCAGCAGAACCAGGAGGCAAATGATGTTCTCTCTGTGACATTTCAAGATGGCATGCTTGCAGTTGTACTAGAGTTTGTTAACAATGGGTAGACCAATCACGCAATAGCTGGAAGTAGCTCCTGAATCATGATTTCATGTCAATTGCCCATTTGCATTAACTGTGCAAAACAGAACCAAAAATTAGATTGGCTTTGGATTGATAAATATTTAAAAATTCAGTTCTGGTTTAAATGGAAGTAATAAATCTTTTAATCATTATTTCTTCAGAGTACCACATTAGTCCACATTACCTGTCAGGTTTTGAAGTGGACTAGGAATACCTCATCTGAACTAACCTCTGCCTTGGACATTCAGCAGCGAGAACATGCTAAGGATTTGTGGAATGTTTCCTTGCATGGATTATAATGAATAAGTGAGGCATCCATGATTAGTACAAGGCACTGATGATTGCCAAGCAGGGTTCCTAACCCAGAATGCCTAAAATTCTTTTAAAATGATGCTTTGCCAAAATTGGAGCTTGAAAATTACTTTGGTGACCAGTGAAGAGTTTATGCTGCTAACATTTTGTTGATTTTATTCAGACCCTTTAAAGGTGAATTAGTGGTGTTACTACAAGCTAAACTTTCTAAAGTTAAAAACCAGAGTTATGAACATTTTCAGGCAGAATGTGACTATGGCTACTCAGTGACTACCACTGGGGATGTCAACAATAGCACAACCACTCCCTGAGTAGTTCCAGTACTTCAGAAATCCATGTTGAGAGCCCTGTTCTAGTCAAACTAGTGGATTCTGTATTTGTCAGTAACCCAGTCCCAATTGAATTTCCAATATGGCAGTTTCATTTGTGACATCAGCTGCTGAAGTCAGTTGGAGTGGCTCTTGTGAGAGCTATTGTATTATTGTTACAATAATTTTTCCTGCCCATTGGACTTTTGGAGTAACAACCTCTGGTAACGCAGCAAGTATATCCCATGAGCCTTCATACTCCATGGTCCTATTGGTTGCCTCCATTTATGGGTACAGACTAATCACCAGCTCTCTCAGTTGGTGACTTGGTTGACTCATTATTTCATGCCACTGGCTTAAACACTCGCACTAGTCATTGGTGAATTTTAGAAGGTCAATGGAACTGAGCCTGTTATACTTATGGTTATAGAAGCAACATTGCATTCTGAATTTACATAAACATCTCTTCATTTTTGTTTTCATTCTCTATTTGTTACAGAGCAAAGGTGCATGCCCAGAGGAAGTTTGCTCAAGGGTGCAGCCTCTTACCTGTATCTCACTCATCTACTGTGCCAAATTCCAGTCCTGCTTCTACAGAAAAAGACTGTGAAGAAAGGAAAGCATCTACATCTACAGGGTTACGCCATCAAGTTCCATCAACTTCTGGAGTCATGACCCAGCCAAAAGTGGAAGTGCAGTGGAAGAATACACTCAACACTCATGATTTCCTGACATTCTTATGTTTCAAAGGTTAGCTAATTTATGATGCTATGAATCTATTCTAAGTCATAATTTTTAAAAATAATATTCTTTCACATATCTTAGCCTCTATAACATGACAAGGTTTGAAATGCCAATCTATTCCTACACAGAGTCTCATCTTATATGTAATTTTCTAATGAGTAGAAGCACAATGGCATGGAGTCCTGCTTACCATACAGAGGGGTTTTCATGTACAGAGAAAAGATGATTGTGCAGTCCTTGGTAAAAGGTGCTTGCAAGGTTGGCTGATTTAAAATCCCTGCACCTGCCTTGATATGAATGCCTTCAGAGAAAGAAATGTAAGAGTGCATTCTTGTTCAAGAATTTCAGCCTTTATCATGCTGTGGCACTTCAGAATTTATTTAAGTACAGATACTTCAATTTTATGATTGAACAGTACTTTGTCTGTAGAATTAGTTGCTATATGTCCATTAAGTTATCATTTCACCAATTTACAACAGCAGAAGTGCAATAAAGATGGTATGAAGGCTAATAGCTTGTGTGAAATAATCTGCATAGCTAAAATACTTGTTTATCACAATGGAATTTAGGCACACCTGCCTTGCCAAAGCAATTGGAAAACTTCCAGGAGCGTTTGCTGGCATGTGTTGAAGAGAAACCATCTGATCCAGCTATGAATACTTCAACTAATGAAGAATCTCCCAAGTCACAACCCAAAGCAACACCAGTGAAGATGGTAAATGGAAGGTCTCAAGCATTACAAAAGCATCTCTCTGCTTCCCCAGAATCCAAAAAGGTTGAATAAGCCCATATTTTTTTAAATATTATCCCTAGAATATTAAAAGAGCTTGTAAGTCTTGAAAATTCTGTGATCATATTTCTATCTCTAGTTAATGCTAACCTGAACTTAATAAAAGAAGTATGTTTGTTGGTTTGTTTGTTCTTTTTTAAGTATGGAATCATTAGGCAAGTGGATGAAGTGATAACTTAAATTCCATTCTTCTTTTTCTGGCCTGCCTAGTAGACAGGTCCAAGAAACCAGCAAAGTCTTTTCCCCTTCTGTCATTTTTCAGTTGTAAAAAAACGTTTTTGGAAGTATACCGGGTGGCCCAAAAAAACGGCTGCAGATGGAACACCATGCTAAGCATTGTCTTGAAATTTTCAGTGTGTCATACCCAATATAGGTTGGTGGTTTTAGGAAAAATTTCAATAAAAGTCCTTGCTCTGAACATGAGTAAGAGCTCTTTCTGTACAAGTTGTAAAATGAGCAAGTGTGTCAATGTGTTTGCTGGCATGCTGCTTCTGCGGACGATTGTTGGAGGACCCATCAAGCGGTTCTTTCATTGAGTTCAGGCACGTTCCTTTGCACAATCGCTCTTTTGGTATCACATGGGAGAAAAATTTTACTCACGTTGTTTACAACTGATTTCCTTGAAATTTTGTCACAAAACCTGCAAATATTGAATGTAAAAGCCTGCAAATTTCCTGTCAATAACTCATATGGTACATTGTCTGCAGGCGCATAAAGTTCTGAACTTTTTTTTGGGCCACCCAGTATTACTAGGGGCACCCCAAAGGTTTTGTCATTTTCTTAAATAAAATGATGACAGTATTTCCATCAGGTAACCTGATGATTCCATGGAGGTTGCATGCCAAATTGTATCCTGTGTATCCTGATCTGATTACTTTTGCAAGAATAGCTGAGGGGATTAGGAGCAGCAGTTGGCAGTCTCTGCCAGCTGGTGCCTCCTGGTGCCAAGTGTTCCAAATCATGAATTGTATTGCTTCAAGGAAGATGGTCCTTACATCAAGCTCATCAGGAGATATCAATGGCTTTTTTTGGATGGTACTGCCAAGTCGCTGAATCAATAAATTTAGGTTTGGTCAAGATTCCCTCAAGAATGAGCCCCATTAGTGAGCCACTTCAGTAGAGCAATGGCATTGGGTTGAAACTCTGGAGAAGAAAGACTGATAAATTTGGTACCAATTGACAGAGCTATCTCTGTACACTGAGTAATCAGGAGAAATACCATTATGCATGAAAACCTCAAGGCCAGGAAGCTCTATGATTCTGCATTTTTGGCAGAAGATAAAATCAGATGAGGATGGAGTTCACCCATCAAATGCTCTAGAAATCTGACAACCACAGTCTAATGGTGTCTAGCTTATCATGAAAGGTGATGAGACATGCGTTTATCATTAGGATATTGTAGGCAACTTTTTGTTGCCCATTGTTTGCTCTTGCACACATGAACTGGCTGAACTCCACCCCTGTTCCTTAGCTCCTCAGAGTCCCCTCAGCTGTTCTCATAAATGTTATCAGATTAGGATGCAATATGGCATGTTACATGCACAGTGGCTATTGGCTGACTGATGAAAGTAAGTTAGCAATTATTTTTTAATTATAACAAGAAGACTTTGGGGTATCCCTCATATGATAGAATCCCTCAGATCTAGAAAGTATTCATGTATGCATTTACAGAATTTTTATATTCCTACTGTAGTGGCAAGAAATAAGTTTCTTTTGTTTTCCCACTTTCTTCACATCTCACCAACAGGGCCAGGAATGCTCATGGAAGCTTCAAGATATTTTAATTTTAATTTTTAAAGGTATGAGCTTTTTTTTCTGTGATAATCATCCTTGTTATGGTATTTCAGGCACTCCCAAGGTCTGTCAAGAGATTAATCATGAAAGACAGAAATTCTCCTATGACTCGAACCAGAAGTGCAAGTGGAAAAACAGAGACTGCGCGCTCTTTGGTGAAGAAGTATCGCACCCTAGAAAAGAAGAAGAAAGCTTCTCTTGTAACTAGAGAACGTATGTGCTTCAGGAGTTACTGGCTCTTTTCTTTCTTATTGTTTCTTTTTTTCGAGATCATTTTATCAATTGGAAAGTCATTAAGAACTATGTAATGAATTAAACTAATGAATCAGCAGCATTGTCTAGATCTAGCATGAGAAGCATTGCCTCTGAATGGATTGGCATCATGAGTGCATTGTGGATATTTCTGTCTTACTTGACCACATCCAAATGTTCAGTTCTGGTTGTATGACTGCTCAAAGGAAATTAAAGAATCTGTTCAAACCTTAAATTAATTTAAGGTTTGAACAGATTAATTAATTACTCAATTAACTCATCTAATTTAAAAATCAATTTAACCTTTGATCAGTATGTGAATTTGACATTTATACAGAGTATGACAAAAAGAAAAGACCAATGACTTCTTAACCTTGATATCTCAGGTCCCAATGAACCTATTTTTGCAAAAGTTTCACTTTACCTAAACAATTGTGTTTCCAACTGATTCTCAAAATTTCATTTGAACTCATTGAATGGAAGCAATATGATCAGCGGTTTTTGCAAAGAAGTTAGACATTTAGAATGGACAAGAGCTCCTTCTGGTAGTGAAGTCAAGGAAACACTCACGCGCTTTCCCTCCTGATTGTGAAGACCACATCAGACTCTTCTTTCATTTAAATTCATTCCTTGGACTGTTTGTCTCTTGCTAATGGTTTTCATGAGCTAATTTCTAATGAATAACAGATGAATCAATGATGGGTATCGATTCAGAGAGTTTTTTTGAAGTTATTCAAAATTTCCTTTGGTTTTCTAAAGAATCTGTCCTCTTTAAATTTAGTCATAGAACATCTTTCAAAACTTTGATTTGGAGTGATGGATTTGGGCAGCCTCATTGACTTTCAAATAAGTTAGGGCATGCTTCATCCTTAGCCAATTTCATGAGATAAGACTGGAGCAATCATAAGATATTCTTGAAGTCATTGGTCTTTTTTGTCATACCTTGCAGACTCTGGTTCATGTAAACCAAGGGAAATTTTGAATGAAATCTGTGAAAAATCTCTGGATATTGATGCTCATTTATTCATTTCATTCCATGAATTTAAATGGAAGTGGAGTTTGATGTGGTTTTGATGACCAGGAGGGACAGAGCTCGAATGTTTCCTCTACTCCGCTATTAGCAGGAGCTCTTGTCCATTCTCAATGTCTAACTTTTTTTCAATAATTGCTGGTAGTATCACTTTATCCCAACAAATTCTGATGAAATTTTGAGAATCAGTTGAAAACATGCTCATATGTGCATAGTGAAAGTTAAGCAAAAATAGATCCATTGGGAAGTGAGATATTAAGGTTAAAAGTAATCAGTCTCTTTATTTGCCACCTCCTGTGGCAAATATTTAGAATTGGCTGCTCAAAACCATGATTTCTAGAACTGAGTCATTTTTCTTATTTTTTTCAGCAAGCATCATAGTGGAGAAATTGTCTGATGAAGTCTTGTCTCAGCACATGACAAAGAAACCCTTGTTACGGAGTGCATCTAAAGAGGAGAAACATAGGCGTCTCCTTGTTCAGCCCAAAGATGCAGTGACGATGAAGACAACATCTCAGAAACCTATCCCAGTCACTCGATCCAGCTGTAGAGACAAGAACCGTTCTAGGTATTGGATTTGTTGGGTTTTGAAATCACTCCTTTGGAATTTATTAGTCTTTGCATCATTCCCTCATTTTTTTAAATTTCATTTTCATGTGTTATGAATTAATTCTTCAGGCTACAGCTATAATGTGCACTTTTGAGAATTGAGGATCATTTAGTTCATCCTTTGTTCATATAGAGAAATGAAATGGATCTGATCTGTCCTTTGATCTCCAGTGACCAGCAAAATAATCTTTATCTGTTGCCCAGCTTAACATTCTGATAAGGGAGGAGTAAAAAGATTTTTATCTGTCTTTCCTTCAGATGACAATGTGGGTATGTGCCATTTAAGAGAGGATAGGTGACCTCTGTTGATATTTTAGCTCAATGACTCGGATCTCTAAAAAGAAAAATATATACCAATATTTTTGGTACACCCATTTTTATTTCCCTGAATGGGGTATAAAAGTTTGTTTCTCCAAATTACAAGGTGAATGGTAAAATAACCCATGACAAGCATTTTGAAATTCTTGCAGGTCATCAGGATCTGGTGGATATGCTCCTATAAAAATCAATCCAAAAAGAACAGCCTCGCCCAAGCAACAGCTTGCTAGTCCCTCAAAGACTCGTATGACTCGTCAGAGTACTGGAACTGGGAAAGATGAATCAAAGAAGCGTAAACATGAAAGAAAATCTAGTAGTTCAGGATCTTCTTCACCACCCCTAAAAAAAGCAAAGCTTCATGAGGGTGAGACACATTTGATTTATTCAAATAGGATATTGTTTCTTCAATTGGTGCAATCCTAAATCCTCTGGGTGCGTTCTTAATAGCTACTGGTAGAATGACTCGACAAACTCAGCGCATGTTAGTGGAACAAAGGCGAAATTATTCTGACAATAATGTCAAGGTGAGAAAGCTTAATGAGCAAGAAAAGGAGGAGGAAGGAAATAAAACTTTCCTGAAGAAGACGAAGACACGAAGTGGAACAAGCTCAATGCCTCCGAAGTGGTATGTTCATACCTGTTCATGGAATGTGATGTTAAAGCACTTATGCTCAGCATGGAATAAGGGCATCAAGGTTGTAAAACATAGTATTTCACTCTTGTTTGCTTATAAGTGAAATCAATACATTCTCAAAATGTACCTTTATCCTGGTTGTTGCTCATGGCATTGCATTTGGTAGGAATTTCCAGCATGAATTTTCTTCACTTACACTCTCCTGTGCTGTTGCATTGTGTTGCTTCTGTGGTGGGGGTGAGTGCTATGGAGCCAGTTATAACAATTATTGTACTGCAAGTTTTGACTATGGTCAAAACTTGCAGTACAATAATTGTTATAATCCTCCCAAAAGCATTTTTAGTCTTTGAATCAACAAAGAGAAGCATTCCATCAATATGTAGTATTGGAATAGTCAGTGTGTAAAAAAACCACTTAGAGCAAATTGTGTACCTCCCTAATGCTTGGTATATGTAGTTTCTCCAGACATGAGATGGAGAAAGACCACAAGGACCCAATAACAGGCAATTGTCTGGGGGAACTGATTGATAAATTTCCATGCATGTTCAGGGCAAGATTTTTTAATGCCGGCTTTTGCTTTTGCTAAATGCTGTAATGTTGAGGGAGATGGAGCACTACAAACTTTGTTGCAAAGTTTATTGTGTATAGAATTGTGGAATTTAAAAATGGAACTGAGTTTTTGGGATAAAGAAAGGTGGAGTGTCATTAGACATGAAGCTGTAGCTAAATGACTTTTGACACATTGACTGGCATGCATCAAAATGCAAACCTTGATCTGTGTGCCACAGCTGGAAACAAGAGTTGATGTGATGAAATATGAACCATAACTATCGTTATGATTCAGAACAGAATGAAACTGCATCTGAGGATCACCAGTGACACTTATGACTTGACATTGTGCAACTGTTGATCCTTAGGGCAGCCAATGTGTTAAGGTCATTAAGAGAAATGTAAATTCTCAATTGGAAAATATGTAGCTGCCGCATGGCTGGAGCTGGCTCATATGGACATGGAGCTTGCTATGGAAACCAGTTTGAGTATCAAAATTAAATGTATAACATTCTCTGCACCTTCTAAATGTGTGTATAGCTAACATCAATTAATTTTCATGTGCTTTTCTGTGATCTTATGCCATTCATAGAACCAGCACTCTAAGGGTGCCTGCACACAGGATCAGTCTAGTCTAGTCACGATTAGTCAAGTCAAAACGTTTAGAGCCCCATCAACATGCAATGACTGATACTGCCTTCACACCGGATCAGTCTAGTCTAGTCTATTCCAGTCAAGCTGGGCGAGTCGTAGTGTGCATGCACACCTGTCAGTCTTCTTCAGTCTAGTCAAGTCAAGTCATCTTTAGTCTAGTCAAGTCAAGTCATCTTTAGTCTAGTCAAAACTTTTACAGCTCCATTGCTAAACACGCTCTTTCTGATATCCACTTCACACTGCATCAGTCAAGTCTAGTCTAGTCCTCGTCAGTCACGTTTAGTTAAGACGCAAATAGGCACAGGCTCTATTTTTCCGTCAGTCTTTATCAGTCTCTAGTGTGGTATGGGTTCCCAAGTGGAAGTACTGATTCTTTGGTTCGCAAAAGGCCTGATATCTACGACCCTGCCCCCTGTTTTTTTATTTATCCATTTTTCCCTCATCGCTATGCCTCAACTCCGTCTTCTTGCCCTGCTAGTGCTGCTCTGTATTATGAATCAGGGCTTCCGTACGCTTGCACAACACAGGAGCACGCTCGTGCTACCCGAACTCAAAGTTCACCTTCACACGGAAGTGAAGGGGCAATGACTATTGAAAATGAGTTCCCTTTATCCCTCATTAGAAATTGATTAGGTTTGATTGAGATATGAGAGCGGCTTCTGATTGTGCAAATGAACTGGAGAATGAGACAGGTCATGAGATGCGAAATGACACCATCTTCTTCTTGAATCACTCCAGCTCTCGCACTAGCTTACAGGACATGAATTGTTAATTACTAATATAGGTGTGACACCAGAGAAATATGGTCTCAGCTTGCAACTGATGACCTGACATTCTTTATCTGGCACATATTCGTGATCCCGTAGGACCCTCCCTTCTCTTGTGTATTAGAAATAAAGGGGTTGAAGAGTGAATTCCTCATTACCTCATTGCATATAGCCCTCACCGGAGGGCTATATGCAATGAGGTAATGGAATAATTCCACCCATGGAATTATGTTTGCGACTCTCCTCAGTGTGACTCCTAGCCGTTACTCTGGAGGGATAGCCCTTCGGTAGTTGGTGTTTTGCTTCTCTGTGTGTGGAGCTATGAGATGCAAGAGTTTCTCAAAAGAGGATGTCCTCACGCGAAAATACCAAAAGTACCGCTCAGGGTCTTTCTAAAATTCAGTGAAAAGGTGATGGTATTCATCAAATTGCTGCTTTTGGGAATTAATGGGATGCACCCACAACTTCTTTTGCCATTTCTTTCTCCATTGCCACAACAAAACATGGGTAGACGCCAGTTCTTCCTCACTCTCTTCCATGCTGCACAACAAGACTACCACTGGAGCAGATGGTGAATTGAACTGGCATTACAGTTGTGCGTGCGTAATCACCTGACTGAGCTTGACTGAAGGGACTGAACTGACCAATGACTAAATGTGACTAGACTTGACTGATTCGATGTAGAGGTATCCGTTGGTAATGGTGAATGCATGACTGATCTTGACTAAAGTGACTTGACTGAAGCATGACTTGCTTTGACTAGACGTGACTGAACCATGACTAACCTTGACTGGACTGGACTAGACTAGACTAGACTGATCCGGTGTGAAGGCACCCTAAGGCATAATTTCCAGGGCAACTTTTTTGCTTTTTTATGATAGTAAGAACATGGAATAGGTTCTCCCTTTGTGCCCTGGGTGCTTTTGAGGGGGAGGCTATGATTTCCCATGTTTTTGTCCTTGTAGATAGAAAAAGAAAATCAGATGAAGCATCTCAGCTTTAAAATAGATAATATTTTCAACAGTATTTTCTGTAAGGTATTCACTGAGTCAATTTATGCAGCATTTCCAGCTTTACATGATTGCACTTCTGCATGAAATTGACTGGTCATGGAACAAGCTATGCTTGTCAAAGCATGCTGGTGAATCCATGTGGCTGACAGAAGAACTTTTAGTGATTGTAATCATTACTCGTGGTGAAAGGGTGTAGTGAAGCAAACATGGAACAGCAATCCTTCCTGAGTCATGGACTGCTTCTTCACAATTTTACACTAGGGCTCATAGGAATGAATGAAGTACATGTAAACAGAGAGAAAAGTAAATTCAAAACCACAAAAATTTTTCCAGTTAATTACCACTTCATAGCTCTGTAGTGGCTGTCCTGTTTGAGACCTAATATGTCAGTGGTGGCAAAAACATCATCATTGCTATCATTTCAAGATGTATGGCATGTGAGAGAAGGCAGAAGAATGTTGAAATCAAGAGTGAAGGAAGCATAACAAATAGAACAGGGAATTTAGCACAAGGAACCTAAATTGAACAGCCTCTATCCATCCAGCCTGTAACACAGTGGCACCATCTGGAGAGGATTTACTTTTATATCTAATTTTTTTGCTGGGAATTGCTAACTGATATGTTTTGCCTGAATTTTTGGCCTCAAGTCAAAGTCAAACCAATGGAAAAGCAAAAGGATGAGAAGTTGAGCACTTGGAGTGCATTGTAATATATCATCACATCTGTGATTATTTGCATGGATTTGAATAAAGCATGTTCTTATAATTTTGCTGTAGATCCCCTCAATGGAGAGGATTATCCCCTGTCACTCCTGGATTTGGAACTCCCAATTGTCTGTCTTTGCTCTATTATGTTTGTGGTGTGCTTGCTTTTCATGTTATTTATCTTCTCCTCTATCTTGAATTTCTTCTTTCCAATTTACTTATTTCTGACATGTCTTTGAGAATACATATGGTGTTGGGCCCTGCACTTGTTAACCATTATATAAATCTTCATGAGCATGAATCACTGTATTGGAAGGCAATTTGCATGAATTACATATATTGCATGCTCCTACATAGTTAATAGTGTCCCTTTCTTCTCTTCTTGCCATAGGTTGAAATTTCAGTATTTCCATTCCAAAATGATCGTGTTTGCTTCGTCAACATCACACAGTTTAAAAAATGCAACTTGAGAAAAGTTTTTGAAAATTTAGGAGGTTCATTTTCATATTGCCAAAGGAGCAGGGAATGCCCTGACTTCCTGCTTAGGGTAACATTCCCTTTTGCATTTGCTTCGCTGTCTGGTAAGCCATCACTTGGTTTGGTATCACTACACCACACAATTATTATTGCCAGAATCAAAAAATATTCTGGCAAAATTGACCTCCATGAAAAATTTTCTCTTCATCAGTGTCGATGAAGATTTGAATCAGAATCATGCCTGGACCAAAACTGAAGAGGAATGGAAAATGAATGCACAGAGTGTCTCAAAATTATTCATCCTAAAGTAAAATTTTATTTCTCTAAAAGCAGTAGATGTAGAAAAGTGAAAGTTGGCAGTAATTTGGCTTAACTCTTTACTTTTCATTTTATATGGGTGTCAGCACTGTAGGATGCAAGATGACGACAATGATTAAGGAGAACTTGAAGTGTGTATTTTTGTATGCAAAATTGAGCAGTGTTATGCTCATACAGTGTGAGTTCAAGCAGTTGTATGGAAAAATGGAGGCTCCAACATCACAATACATTCTTTGTTGGTCCAGGCATTTAGAAAAACTGGAACAATCACTAATCTAAAGGGACAGACCACGCATGCATGCTGACGTAGTGGACAAAATTCAGGCAGCAATGACAAGTCCTGTCAATTTTGCGAAGGTTATCATGTGAAGTGAATATGCCTATTGCAATGTGTCAGTGGATTGTTTGTAAACAATTTAACACCATTCCAATTTCTTCAAAATGCCCAAACCAATGCAGATTCCTTTGTGATGTTAGAGCCCTCCTTCTTCCATACCAACGCTTGAACTCATGCTGTTATAGCCCAACAATGTTCAGTTTTGCACTAAAAATCACACACTTCACCTTCTGTTGTGTTGTTGTCACCATCCTGCTTCATAGTGCTGCCACCCATATAGAATGAAAAGTAGAGAGTTAGAGCAGATTACTGCCAACTTTCGCTTTTCTACATCTGCTGCTTTTCGAGAAAAATATTATTTTACTTTTGGATGAATAATTTTGAGACACCCTGTATATTTTTCTTCATTCACAACCCCACCTTCTTACCATTGCATTCACTAATGACATTGTCAAGATGCATTGCAAACAATTGGATAATTTTCTTGACAGCATACAAAAAAAGTCATGCAAAAAGTCAGTCAAAACATCTATAATCTTGTTTTGCTTTTACTTATGTTACTTCCAGTATATTTAGACTAATGCCTCTTGGCATTAGTAGAGGAGTTTAAAAACAAGGAAGTGTACACCATCAACAGCACTTTTCAAGGAACGTTTTAAAAATTATTTCTAATTTATATATTTTCTGATGTAAGAGAATTTCCTGTGTTAGAAACCAAAGCCAGGAAAAAATATATTCAATATCAATTGACTGGTTTCTAGAGAAAATTTGTCAGAGTTCTTTTAACATTTTAGTTTTATTTCTTTCTAAGTGAGGTGACATTTCATTTAGGCTAAAAAGAGTTTAAGTTTTTGTATGGAATAAATTTTAAAAACATTTCTCCTTAATGAAAATTAGGCTAGTTTTTGCTCATTTTATTTGTTAAATTTGACTGCTTTTTTACTTTTTAAAATGAAAATTGTGCTGGACTGGCAAAAAAAAATTGTAGACAAAAGCAATTTTGTTCACAATTGAACTGTATAATCATAATTTGTGTAATCATTGCTTGCTTTTAATTTTAACCTCTATCCAGAGAATACCAATTTAATGGTGTCATTTCGCACACCTCATCATGTGTAATAATAGTAGGCTGTGCACCCAAACATATGCTTATTTAGTTCAAGGATAGTGACAAGACCCTCCAGACGAACCAAAGAGGCGGCAGCTATGTACCTAGAGCTCATTGGCCAAGGACTTTCAGCATCTGATGATGAATTTGAAGATGATTCCATAACATTAAGTGCACTTTCTGATTTGCAAGAGACCATGTCTCGTCTTTCAGCTTCAGGTGAGATTCAAGTCCCTTTGAACTAAAGATTTTACTGCATTTTATATCATCATGAAAGTTAAAATGAGTCTTTTCATTTCCAGGTGGATCTAAACCCAAAAGGAAGGAGTCTGGCAAGTCAAAGCCAAAGAAAAGAGATAGTTCAAGTTTACCTCAAGAACTCCACCTGCGCTCTGGAGCTGTTCGTCACCTGTCTTCTTCATCTACTGAATCCCAACTGAAGAAGACGAACACAAATGAGATTCCAAGATTTGATGGAGTGAAGTCTGCAGGAAGATTGCTGCATAAGCAACATAATGCAGAAGGAAACATTGCCACTAGATTCAAGCAAAAAACAAGGAGCAATGCAAGAGGGTCATCAACATTCTTATCTGAAGGATCAAAGACAAGTTCAAGGCATGTGCATGCAAGGAGGTTTGATGATGACAGCACCAATTCCAAGAGAAAGTGGGAGAGGAGTAGTGAAGGAACAGTTTCAAAAGGCAAGTCAGAGAGGAAAATGAACAACTTTTTACTGCAGGGTAAGTCAGAGAAATCCTGCGAACCCCAAGTCAGAAAAAAAGACAAATCCAGTTCTTATCCAGGACTGAAAGACGAACCCAAGAAACAGGATGACCAAGAAGGAGCAAATGAAGTGACAATCAAAGCTTCATCTAGTTGCCAGAACAGTTCTCCTCCAATTCAAATTGTGAAGCATGTCCGTGACACTGTGAAACGGTGGCTTGACTGGCGTACACCAGAACCAAAGCAAGACAGCAGTGAGCAATCCAAAAAAGGTATGTCTTTGCAGGAATCTGATGGAAGCAGCAACAAAACATCAAAAGAACTCAAAGCAGCTATGCAAAAGAGCATTGATAACATTCTTCTGAAATCCAAACCTTCCAGTCTTTCACATCTTCCATGGCCTCCTCCTGGCACTATGAAAACTCTTTCTGTTGAAACACAGTCACAGAGAAGTCTGAAACCCTTGGGAGATACCAAGAAGCTTCTGACAAGTCACAAAGATGAAAGAGGAAAGTCATCTGCATTTTCTCCATTTGAGGAGAACAGTATCTATGCCTTCACTAATGAAATGGAAAGCCCAAACACTATGGAATCAAGAACTCGTAGCTCACACACAGCTCCTCCTCCTCCACCTCTGAGCCCACCCCATATTGATACTGCATCCCGTGTCCCCATAATTACTTCAGATGATTCCTCATCTTCATCCAAGGCGTCCCTGCCCCACAGCCCACCAATCCTCAAGAAGGAGGGAAATGTCTCGAATGAGCAGCAATTACCTGAGAAATCAAGCAAGCATTGTGGGTGAGTAGCAGTGAGTAAACATTGTGGGCAAGTGAGTAACATTGTGGCTTTAGTTCAGTTTCGCTCAAGTCTGTAGAAGGAAGTTAATAGGTCATGGTTTTTGCATATGCATACATTGATTCTATGGATGCGTAAGAGTAATTTGATTTTTTTTGAGGATATTGATGTAAAGGGTGGGCCAAAAAAAAAAAAGCTATCATTTTTGATGAGTAGGCTCTGATTGTAGGCTGCCAATTCTGACGAAATTTGGTTGGCACATAGGGTGACTCAATTAGAGTTTGTGGGCTGAGTTTCAAGTCAAAATTCCAGAAACCTAGAGATTGGCATTTAATTTACTTCTCATCACCAAAAAAGTAAGCATTCATTTTTTCTTTCAACTTTAAATTTCTAACAACTGACGAAAACAAATGGAACAGAAACAAAATGCACAAATGCCAAAAATGAAAGCACACAATTTGGTTTAGGTAGGTTCATTTCATCTGAAAAGGTGCTCAATGTGCCCTTCATTCTGTTGAACACAAGCCTCTAGTCTGGGATGCCACAGATCAATGACTCAGTCAATAAGTCTTTGAGGCAGTGCTTCCCAATCTTATATATCATCATGATGGAAGGGATGGAAGGTCATGAATTTGGTCCTCCCTTTCATTCCAGCCTCTAGTTCGTATCAATATTTTTGACAGCACATTTTGTCGTGGGGGTCATCAGAAAATAATTACAGCTTCTATCATTTTAGAGCCAGAAGGCTGATATTTGGCATAAAACCTCCAATTGTGTCACCCTATAGGCCTACCAAATTTAATAATGGCAGTCTACAATGAGACTGACAACTCACCAAAATGACAGCTTTGTTTTTTTGCCCCAACCTGTATATTCATTCATCAGCTCAGTTGTGTATACTCACAGCTGCACTGCTGGTGCAGGCAGTTTTCATCAAGTATACTCAGCAGCCACTGTAAAAGGGTTAAATTGTGTAATTTAGCTGGGACTCAAAGTGCTCACCCAATGTTATTCATACATGTTTTCTTCAGTCTTGGTTGCAGTACACTAGTCAAAGTTTAGTCCTGTACTCATCAACCAGAAAATAGTGTGTTTTGCTCAATTTTGAAGGTCTGTAAAAGTGAAGGATTTAAGGGCACTGAAAAGTTACAGTGGCAAGATCCCAAAAGGAAGACCAGGGGATTTGTTTTTATGAGTTGCTCATAGAATCTTTAGGCCTTCATTTGGTTGATGAGGGTGTTAAAGAGATCCATTGTGACACAGTGGAAATTTAAGGCCTGTGATATTAAGATATTGGAGAATTTCTTCAAAATTGAGCTTGGGGATGTACCAAGCCAAGTTGTTTCACCCTTTCTGGCAAAGTGGTTACACTGTGAAACCACCATTTCACTTTTTTTTCCAAGTCATGTCACGGTGGTCTTAAGTTGAAACCACCTATCCACCTATTGGGTAGTGGTGTCCACTTTTAGGCAAAATTTTAACTGCATCAAGAAATGAAGTATAAGCATCATTAGAGGAGTACAAAGAAGCATTGTTGATTGTTGAGTTTGAGTAATAGAAGTGGCCATTTACGAACCTTGCATCACAGTGGTTTCAGTTTGAAACCTCCTCATAACTTTTGTGTTAGTGTTGATAAATTGTGTGCTCTTATATTTTAAATAGTCTTTTATATAGGTTTTTCCAAGAATTTAATTATGACAAAAATTTAGATATGTATGCTGAAAGGGTTAATCCTCTTCTTATTCAACTCTAAGTTAGGCTGAAGTTGGAAGAGTAGCATTTCTTCTAGTAAGGTTGTCAATATGTGGAGTTGGTGAGGGCATAGTGGCTGCTACAACCATTGATTTGATCTCTTGCAGATGAGGCTAGGTGCCTCAATGGGAAAGCTCTGAGTTAGCTATTACACCTACTGGCTCTCATAGAAAATGTATATGGTGCAATTTACTGAGAGATGGTGTGTATGCTCAACATGACCCAGAGTATCTATATGGGCAGCAATGCATATTTTTTGACAGCCCTGCCAACATATTATAAGGATTCTCTTAATGCCATTTCAGTGTCAACCTTGGGCTGCCAAAGAAGGGTGAAACAAAAGCTCGTTGGCCTACCTTCCACCCAAGCTGTGGAAGAAAGGCAGAAGCTCCTGTTTATACTCCATCCGACTCTGAATTCCAAGATCCAATCCAGTATATTGAGAAGATAAGACACTCAAGTGAGGCTTGTGGAATTGCCAAAATTATTCCTCCACCTGCATTCAAGGTATGGAAAATCATGAATATATGGGTGCAGTATATACTATGCCCTGCATAAAAGGTTAAGGACTGTGGCAAGAATTTTTTGTATCTGACTTCCTTCACTAAAATATTATGGACCCCATTTATACCAATCCATCTACCTATTTATTATGTCAAATGTGCATGTTCTTAGTGATAATACACAATGAATGAATCAAGCAATGTTCAAAAGACAATTTGGCACTCAAATATACTTTTATATGGCTGACAGACCTGGAGGAGGAAAAACTTACTTACCATCCCCTTAACCCTTTCGGCATCCAGTGCAGATGCTCTTGACCTCCCCATGGTGTCCAAATGTTTTGAGAAAATTAGCTGTAAGTACTAACAACACTAAAATCACTTAAGAACTTAAACAAGCAAAAATGAATAGACAAAACTTTTACAAAATACTGCCCATTTAGCTAGGTGATGTGTAGAGTGGTAACGTATGCTGTTTTTGGATATTTATAGATTTGGTGGGCTGTTATCTAGTACAAACTCAGAATTCTGGAGACATCATCTAGTACAGGGACCCCCAGACTTAAGACCTCTGTGTACTTCTTGCCTCCAGGGTGCATATGTAGTGTACCACCACTTGTCACACATGCAAATCCCACAGAGTACATAAGACTAGCACTATATTGTGCAATTTAAAAATAATAAGTATGTTTAGAAATCTTATGCGTACCCCCAGTGGTACATGTACTGTGTTTGGGAACCATTAATCTAGTATGTTAATTGTTTTGAGCACTTCCTGTGGGATTCTGATCATCAACATAACTCATCACTCCCTCAGAGGACTGATCACTAACAACATCAAACTGTCCTCCAGCAACATTACTAATAACACTCTCACTGTGTGGCATGTTAGAAACTGAACCAATCTCAAGCATATCTTAAATTTTCTCGCTCTCAGGATGCCATGCTTGCCACTTCCAGGCATAACAAAAAATAAATGCTATGATAATATTAGGAAGGAAATAACATTTAACCACATCCTAAAGCATAGGCAGTTCAAAAACAAAAAGTTTTCCACCAATAGATTTAGCAATGAATAGATTTAAATGAATAGATTTAAATGAATAGATTTAGATGAATAGATTTAGATGAATAGATTTACCAATAGATTTAAAGTGTGGATTGTAAATCCACACTTCAACGAGAGAAAAAAATTAGACGTTAGAACAAGTAACTCAAGGTAATGCGGGCAAGCAGGCAGTTGGATGACGAGTACGTACTCAGGATGATGCCAAATGGGTTAAGGCATTTTCTTTCNCTCAAAAAGTACAAGGGCAATTATTCTTGATGAAGCCATTACATTACTGAAAATAATTTCTGCTCTCTATAACCTATTGTAGCATTTCTAAGATGGTCCCTAACTCATTTTGCTTGATATAAATTTGATCAAATTGGGAGTGTCCTTTATAGGAAAGCTATACATAAGTCCTGGATGCTGCAAGTGTAAAAACAAAATTTTATTTTTATTTTTATAGCCTGACTGTCGTGTTAATGATGACATGCGGTTCACTGCCTACAAACAGTATGTGCACAAAATGTTTTCAAGATGGGGGCCAAATGTTAAGAATTTGGAAGCTATCAGGAAATCCTTGGAGAATAGTGACATGACTCTGTTACACAGCCCAGTGGTGAGTCCCTATCTCATTTAATGTATTGTATGTTATTATCTGGACTACATCTGATCATTTTCTTGTCAGCTTGGAGGTGTGGAGATTGACCTTGTGAAGCTGTATAAAACAGTTCAAAGCCTTGGAGGGTTGAAGCAAGTCATTGAAAGGCAGAAATGGACAAAGGTGGCTGAGATGATGCAGATACCAAAAACTGTCCAGGACAGAGTAACCAAACTGGATGACATTTATTGCAAGTACCTCTTGCCCTATGAGACCCTTTCTGAAGGTAAGTTGATGGATGCTGTTGATTCATTGGTGTCCAAATCTGAGAGGTCTTTGACTCTTTACCATGGTGATAACTTTCTCAGGAGAACGAGAGGAACTGTTATGTCAGGTGGAAAAAGAGCATGAGGATGCTGAAGCATCTGGAAAGAGTGAGAGTACCAGCAGTTCAGAAGAGGAAGTGGATGACTCAGCCAATGAATGCGTTGTGAAGGTAAGCAAGACTTAACCCTTTCCATAGTGTCACCTAAATAGGCACATTTTCAAAGGAATTGAAAGTATGTAGCAGCATGTGCAGCAAAGTTTTTTGAGGGAGGACAGAGTCCTCAAGTCCAATTTATTATTATGATTATTTTCATTTGAATTTGCCATGGCAGTGAGTTAACACTTAAAATTGTATCTAAATGTGGTATTCAAGCCATTGTTCATGTCATGTAAGCTAATGTATCACGTGCCCTTGTGCAGGGACGAAGCATTTCACTGAGCCAGTTTTTTCGGACGGCTCGGAATCTGAATCTGATGTTCAAGACTGAGGAAATGCATACTAATGACATCGAAGAACTCTACTGGAAGATAGTGAGAGAGAGGAATGAGCATGTTTGTGTGAGCTCTGGAAGCATTGATTGTGGTGCTTGGGGTTATGGATTCCCTGCTCATAAGAACAGTCCCTTCTCAAAACATCCATGGAATCTGAAAGTCCTTACCAACAACTCAGGATCCCTGCTTCGATGTCTAGGCCCAATGATTGGTAAGTGTATTATGTAGATGTACTAATAAGCTGGTGTGCCAGGAGAACTGATGTTTTCTTGACAGTTGTAATGAACAGTATTTTTCTGATTTTCAGGTGTTACAATTCCCACATTGCACATGGGTATGCTGTACTCCACCTGCTGCTGGTACCGTGATCCTCACTGTCTCCCTTGGATAGATTATCTTCACACTGGAGCCCCAAAAGTCTGGTATACAGTCCCATCATCTCAAGAGAAGAAATTCCATGAGGTCATGATGGATCTGGTCCCAGATTTCTGTAAGGATGCCCCCATCTGGCTTCCTTCTGATACTGCCATGGTTAGTGCTCCTTCACTCATGAGAATGATGAAGACAGGCAGCCTTCAAGCTGCTAATATGTTACTTCTTTTTTTTTAGGTCCCCCCTTCAGTGCTGATAGAAAAGGGAATTTCATTGTTTAGAACCATCCAGAAACCAGGAGAGTTTGTGGTTCACTTCCCACGAACTTTTACTTCCTCCATTTGCACTGGCTACTCTCTTGCAGAGAGTGTTTATTTTTCCCTACCAGATTGGTTGGACTTAGCTGAGAAAGCATTCAAGGTAAATTAAATTGTCATTAAATCTGTTTCTAATGTGCTGATTAGATCTTGGCTGAGTACTTTACCTAGTCTTTGTCATTGCAGGATTTAGAGAGCAGCTGTGAGCCAAGCATGTTTTCAATGGATCAGCTAATGCTGAGCATTGCTGATGATAATAAAGTCTCTCTCAGAGTCCTGGAAAAGGTACCAGAAATGTCATTGGCACTCTATAAACCTGCAACTATCCATTCGATCTTCTTACACCTTGTATTTTTTTCAGGTTCATGGGATGTTAGGTTGTGTAATGAGGGAGGAGTTAGACAGAAGGAAGAAGCTGGAAGGATTCCCAATCAGGGAATACTCTAAGATAGATAAAAAGATGGACCCCAAGGGAAAAAAGAAGCATTCATCTGAAACAGAGGAAGAAGAGTGCTCTATTTGCTGCAAGAGGCTTCATTTGTCCATGGCAAGCCATTCTTGAGCATACCTTGGCGAATATTACTAGAGTAGACACTGAAAGTCTCAAGATGACATGAATGCTGGAATAACCTCTTTCAGGTGGAAATCTGTGAGGAAGATGCAGATGAGGAGGAGGAGATGACTTCCTACTGTTTGCTCCATGCCTACAATGCTCTTGCAGCTCAACCAACATTGGCAAGCAAGGCCAAGTTTTATTACCTTCTGTCTGAAGTAAGTGTCCAATCTTCCTCTAGCGTTTCTTATTTCATTTTATTTCCCTGTGGTAGTAAAGTCTGCTTGGCAGACAATTCTCACTGTGAACTCTGAAATGACACTAAAAAATAGGCTTGTTTCTCCAGGAGGAGTTGAAGGAAGCAGTGGAGAAACTTGAACAGCGCATATCAAGTCTTCAGGAGCGAAAGAAGAAAAGTGTACAAATAAGGAAAGAGAAGCATAGTTGAATTATTTCTCATTGTGGCATTTTGTTATAATTATTCCTTATCCTGAAGGTTTTGGCTTTAGAAATTAGTTCATCTGGGTTTGTATGATTTTTACCTGTCTACAGTCACAACTCTTGCCAACTAGGGTAAATGAGGCAAATTCCAACCCCCTTAAGTTTTTACACCTAAATCTGTCTCTCACCTATGTTTGGAACTTGATGGTTTTGGAACTTGCACTACTCAAAACGAAAATGCACATGCTGTCCATTCATGTTTTGAGTCCAGACATTGGTGTAATTTGGTTGAAAAAGGCAGATTGGATTTCTCATTATGGCAGGCTTCATGGCAAGGTTGGAACTTGTCTCACTTGTCCTGCCACTGTCCAGCCTTCAAAAAAAGAAAAAAGGTACATTATAGCATTTGAGCCATATCTCTGATTGTCCTGAGTTTCCTGTCATACAGGACTATTGGGAGTTGAGTGTTGGTTTTTTTAGGGTGAAGCCAGGGACTAGGCCATCAGAGGTGCAAGCAAAGCAGACCTAGCCACAATGTAGGATGATGCACATGCCCTGTCTACACTTTCATCTGATGATTGGTATTGCTACAGTTTTCATTTAGTTTTCATTGCAGTTGATTTATTAGCACAATGAGCAGAGGCCACAATACTTGGGCCTGCTGTACTTGTGTGATGATGAAGTGTATCCCAAGTCCAAATCAATAAGAGCTTGTTTGATCACATAGTATGGACAGAATCAGTGGTCATTAAAGAATGCCTTTAATCCAAAGTGCTCTTTGGATAGCCATAACCAATGGAAGTCTTAATCTTTGCATTTTATTATGAATTCAGTCAAACTCTATGGGTCAATGGCATCTGCCAAAGATTTGTCTGCTAATCAAAAGTATCAAACATCTTGATTCACAATGTCACTATGTGGATTCATGATATCATCGCCATCATTTTGCAATAATTGTGTAGACAGGGCAATTGGCTATGGCTACAGTTTTGGATGGACATGTTTCACTGTATATTGAAGACTTGTTTCACCAGCTTTATTGTATGTATTATGAAGTTATGATTTGATCTTGTACACTGTGCTGACATGCTCTCATTGACATCAAGAATATTAAGTTGCCAGGTAGCTTATTGTATGGATATGCAACTGGAGGTATGTTGGTGTCTTCTCATTTTTTATTGCACTTCAATGGATAATTATGGTGATGCTGCTCAGGTGACCCCATTCAAAGTAGAAATTGTGGCTTTCAAAAAAGCCTACCTTCTTGTAATCAGTCTCTTTTTAGGAAGCCCAGTCTTCCTGCATCTGAAATTGTGATATTATTTTTATGCTGTACTGGGTGTTTTTATTTGATTGTCATATGAAAAATATGAACTGCAATTGTGGTCTGCTGTTTCATTTAAGCTATGTGAAAGGTGAAATTGGGGTGGGAGGATGACATCTTCCCGGAATAACTGCCTCCAATACCCCATGTTACTGTCTTCAGAATGTAGAATTGTAATGTCTACTTGCCATGCTAACAAAAGTGTAACATTAATAAAAAGGCTGTTGCACAAAACTGGATAGGAATGAAAATCAAATGAGAGCCTTTGCATTATGTGATATTGATGTTGTCCTTCTTGAAGTAGGTATTTTAACAAAATACTTGGACACCATGTGTCCCATATGGCCATTCCAAGGATTCATCTTCCTTTTCATCCTATTTATTGGGATGACTGCACTTTCTGGGTGTCGAGTCTCTGGTCAGGATGCTTGGAAGGGGTCCTTTGATCCACCTGCTGTGCAACAGTTACCAGAGGGGAATACAATTGATGTAACCTTTGTAGCAGACTCTCCTATACAAGGTAGACCTCAATATACAACAGTGTCGATTTTGTCCCAGAACCGGGAAATTGCCATTGTTCATCCTGAACTGATTGAGCTGAGTCTGTCAGAGCCTGTACAAAACATCTCATTCAAGCTAGAGGCCCTCTTCTTAGGGTACACCACTGTGGAGCTGATAGTCTCTGATGCCAAAGAAGGCAATGTCAGTAAAACAGAACCCCTCAGTGTTGAAGTTATTCGAAAGCATAGTGTATTGGATCGTGTCTTTATCTACTCAATCATCGGACTTCTGTCCCTCGCTTACATCAATATGGGCTGTGCGCTTGACTTGCAAGTCATCAAGCATACACTACGGCATCCCATAGGTCCAGTTGTGGGTCTGATAGCCCAGTACATCTACATGCCATTGGTTAGCATAATTTCTGGATTGATTTCTTTTTAACTTAGAAGAGAAAATATTTTACGTGAATTTCTCATACAATAGATGGCGTACTTGCTGGCAACTACAGTCCTGGATCTTCCTGCATCAAAAATAGCCCTCTTTGTCACAGGCGTTTGCCCTGGAGGTGGAGCTTCCAACATGTGGACAATCCTCCTTGGTGGAAACATCAATCTAAGCATCACACTGACTTTTCTTGCAACTCTTTTTGCTTTTGGTAGGACACTTCTATCCAAGCCTCAGATTTTTATTTTAAAATGTTCATTGGTTAAGCCAAAATATGGATCAAGTCATTTTTTGATAGGGTTTCCTATATGAAAAATTCAGTGTAACTATGGGAAGTTGTAGAGTGAAGTTTGACATTGGTTGATGAAGATCAATCACAGGCAAAGAGCTTCACAGGAGTTTTTCAACAGTTAAACCTTTGAACATATCAAATATGAGTTTTGAAGGTGAGAATGAAGATGGTCAGCCAGAAAAGGATTGGTGACATAAGTGACTAGTTTAATGCTTACTAGTTTTGCTAGTGGCTCCCTGCCTTCTCTCTTGGAGGAGATAAATTCCTTTTCTCCAGAAGACTGAGTGCAGGATGATCCTGTCTTGACCTTACTTGTTCTGTCTATTTTTCAGTGGCCATGCCAGGCTGGCTCTTCACCCTGGGGAGTAGTATTTTCAAAGAAGGAGATTTAGTCATTCCATATGAGAATATAGCAACCTTGGCATTGGGACTCATCATTCCTGTGTCCATTGGTGTTGGAATTCGGTACAAGTTCCCTGGCTGTGCACACTTCATGGTTCGCATCATCAAGCCTGCCTTTGTACTTCTCATCATCTACATTGTGATCTTTGGGATTTACACCAACCTATACATTCTCTACCTTATATCCTTTGAGGTTTGCCTTTTTTTATTATCTCATTGATTTAATGTATATATACTACTGTTACTTAATGAGCTTGATCAGTCTCCAATGGCATTTGTTTATTCCAGACTGTGGTTTGTGTGATAGTGCTAATATGGTCAGGGTTCCTGGTTGGAGCTCTCTTGGCCTTTATATTCCGCTTTCCTTTGGCTGACATCATTGCCATTGGTCTTGAAACTGGAATTCAGAATACTGGGGTGGGGATTGTGCTCCTTCGCTTCTCACTTCCACAGCCAGAGGCTGACCTCAGCTTAGGTGAGTCCCTTCCACTTTGTGTGCTGCTTGGTTCATTAGATCATTTGCCCATTTTTATTTTGTCTTTCAGTGTTTCCCATCTTGGCAGATATTGTCACACCACTCCCACCCTTGGTCTTCTTGATATCTCTCAAATGTGTCGTGAAAAGTATTCATATTCCTCCTTCACGCACTGCCTCTTTCGTGTCTGAAGAATCTGAGATGGAGAAGCAAGTTCGACGCCTCTCTGCTGCATCTACCTTAGAAGACACACCTCTGCTGGAAGCCAAGGTCACTAAGAAGTCTTACACCTGAATATCTAACCAATCATCTCTCCTCTGCTGTGCTTTTATTTGTTGTCAGAACCTTGAATGATCCTTTGTTTTTAACGAAAGGGTATTACAATGATCTCAATTTTATTTACATCATGCTCTGGTTGTCTGCCTCCAGGTGTATAGCTTAGTTATAATTTCATGCATTGAGATATGGTGGCAACTGCAATGAACTTCAATACCAAGGAGCCATAATCTGCTGTTTTAAATTTCATCATTGAACCTACCACTCAGCAACTTTGCCTCTGGACAAACGAGGTGGTTGGCTTGATCACGACTGTTCTGAGTCTTTCTATTGGACACTAATGTATGGCAAATTTTGTTAAATCAAAAGGGACTAAAGCAACTTCAACATAACCCACTACATAAAAAATTAGTCATTTTAAGATAGCAGATTTTGACTCTTAGGTATCATTATTGGGAATCAATATGTTTTGATGGGAGTGCCATGAGTTTCTACCATACATCCTAATGCTGTCAATTTGTGCTGTGCATCTGGGATAATCACAATTGCAGCTTGCAGGTAAACAGGTTCCGTAATGAGCATGAGTAGTGTGCCAAATTTATTGTCAGCAACCTGGGATGAGTCTGTTCTTCACTCATGCATGACATGTTTTGTGCTTGTGATGAAGAAATGCATCCTCCTGTGCAACTCCATAATTTTTTTTTATTATTTTTGGAAAATGCAAAAAAGAAACTATTGCAAGGAACGTATACCTTCTTTGTATTAAATGTTCTCAGGTCTCGAAAACTGGACAAAACCTAAATTTAGCATAGCTTCCCACTGCAACAATATATACATCCAATAGTAAACCAGCAATAGCAAGGGAAAAAAAAGATAGAACAACCTTCTGAATTATTTTTTCAAGTGATTCTGGACCCTGAAGACGACATGTTATGGAATGCTTAGCTTCGCACTGGAACAACAAAATGACCGGCTCTCCATGCGAGAGCATGGGACCCTGAATGATGGGAAAAGCAACCAGTTTAAACACATTCTCCAAGGAACTGACTAGTAGAACCCATTTGATATGAAGGAGGTGGAAAAGAGAAAGGGGAATGTATGCTCAATCTGAACAAGAAAAAAGAAGGGAAGGCATGACACTGGAAGAATGAAGACAAAACAACCGATTGGAATGCATGCGGAAATTGGATACCGTAGCACACTTGACAAAAATAATAGCAAGAGTGAATGCAGCACACTCTGTTTCTTCTTGGAAGGAAAATCGGGGGAACTAAGGCGAGAAAGATACAAAAATCCTCTCACAAGGTGCAATCTCAAATCCAACTCACAGTGGCAAAGGCGAACAGGAAAAAGAGCAAAATGATGATATAGGTAGGCACAACCCAAAATCTGTACAGAATATCTGATCACGTCTTAGTCACTGCTATTCACTTTACACACTGGAATGTACTGAGTATGGTACTTTGACTATGTGAGCAATCGAAAGACGGAAACTGTGAAGGGACAAACTGGGAAATTCCAATTAGTGAATGCCATCCGTGCATCAAAATCCGCACTCGAGTGGGAAATCTCCCCTAAGCGTTGCACATCATCCATACATTTCGGGAGACGAAAAGGGAGAAAGTCGAACAATAAATTACAAATAGAAAAAAGAATTTCCGATAATAATTTAGGTCATGATGTTTCGTTCCTACGGGCGCTTACTCTCTGAGGCAGTAGAAATCGTTGTGAGATCAATGGAATGTCATGTGAGGGCGAAAATGTAGGGAGAATGTGAGAGAAAGAGAGGATGATGCTAGCTTTGGCCTTGGACGCCCAAAAGCTTAGCAACATCATCAGGGGATTTCTTGCTCAACATCGTGTCAATGAGCTTGGGATCCTGAATGCCGAGCAAGTTCCCGATGAGATCCGATGTTCCACATCCCCCTACGTCCGGATTCAAGCGATTGATTTTCTCCATCAAATTCTCCCTCTTCTTCAGGTCCACACTGGGCTTGGGAGTTGAGATTTTGAGATCCACGTCCTCCTGCTTGTGTTTCTCCATGTGAAGCTGGAAGGTGGTCTTAAGCGTGAATTGCACATCACAGAGAGCGCAGGTAAAAGGTTTCTCGCCGGCATGCAGCTTCATATGGCAGGCGAGATCTTCCATGCACGGCAGTCGCTTGAGACAGAGAACACACGTGAGGCCCAACTTCCCTTCCGCTTCGTCCCCGTTTCCTTCGTCTTCCAGGAAATCCCCGTCTTCTATGCTCTCTGTCTCTTCTCCATCTGCCAATGCTTGGTACTCGTCGTGATGTAGCTCCTGAAGATGTTGAAGCCCGGAATGCCGATCTGGCAACTTCTCGTCGCACATGTGACACCTGAAGTCGGCCGTTACGTTCAGGGATTTCATCGTGGCGTCATTGTTGTTGTTGCTGACGATGCTGCCGTCGTGAGCGCCGCCCAGGTTGAGATGCTTCAGAGCTTGATGCTTCTTCAGGTTACTTGGGGTTGAGAACGTAGAACTAGGACACAGATGACATTTGTAGGGTCTTTCAGGAACATTGCGCATCGTGTATGGGGATTCCCCGCTGTTCCCATGCTTCCTCAGCAGATGACGATCACAGTTCGATTTAGTCGTGAACCAGAGCGGGCATTGGGAGCATTTATATGGCTTTTGGCCCGTGTGGGTGAGGATGTGTCGACGGAGGGAGCTGGTCCAGGGGAATTTCCGAAGGCAGAACGGGCACGAGACCTTGTGAGGTGCACTGGAGTACGCACTCTTCCTCTTCTCCGTCGTGGATTCTTTACTCGATGGGCTGTCGTCGCTGGCCGAATTATCACTCCCACTGCAATGTCCGTCTTCTTCTTCGTCCTGCTGCTTGAAGAACTGCTGGAAACTGTGCGTGTTTGCCTGATCCAGAAGTTTGCTTACACTCGCCAAGTCCACTCCTGTCTCTGTCTCGTCTTCTTTCGTACTCTCCTTCCTCTTCCGGTGACGTGGACTCGTTTCCCCGTGCTCCGAATTCGACGACATGGACCTGGACCTGGTTTCGTCGATGATCAACTCCTCCGTCTCGGATTCCTCCGCTTCTTTCTTTACTTCCAAATCTGGCGGAGGTCGTTTCGATTTCAGCTGTTCGGTTATCGCCTTCCGTACCTTATCTGAAATGGGTTTCGGAGTTTCAGACTGGGGATTCGTGTCTCCTTTGTTATTTTTGCTACTGTGGTTATGGCTGTTGCTGTTGCTGCTGCTGATACTTTTGTTGCTGTTTTGTGGGGGGGTTTCCGTTTTGCCGACCGAAGGTTGATTCTGAAGCAAAGACGGTTGGATGACCGGCGCAGAGAGTCCCGGATACCGTCGCCCTCCCCGGGGTTTCTGGCACCAGAATTGGGGGTGTTGTTGCTTGATGTGACGTTCCATGTTAGAACGAAGCGTGAATCGAGCTGCACAATGTTCGCAGGCATAGGGGCGCTCCGTTCTGTATCGTCTCTGCTTCTGTTTCTTCATGAGGACGCCGTTCTTGATGACGAGTTTCATGGTGGAGTCGGGAGGAGCGCCTTGAGGAGTCACCACTTCACCTTTCCGATCCCCGGAGTGGCTGTTTTTCTTCTTTGCCTGCTCCACGACGACGGCGACGGGAACTTCTTGCTTCTCCCCTCGTCCCTCGGCTCCATGATTCCCGGACATCCACGCCAAGGCGTAGTCATTCCACGTCGTTCCGCTGCTCGATGTCGGCGTCACGAAGCTCTGTTGGACCTTCTCGTAATAGGACTTGAGCTCTTCCATGAAGGCGGTCGGATTTTCATAGGGGTTCGTGGCAGGGACGAAGAACGGGAAAGGTGACCTTCCGGCCGTGGGGAACGGGGCTCCGAAGTAGAACGGCATGGTAGGCGTAGCAAACAAGGCGTTCATGTTCGGATAGGCTGTTTCCAATTTTGTTGGGAAAAATCCGGATGCAGGGAAATGAGGGGCAGTAGGAGGATCGAAAGCGGACGGAGTGTTCGGAGCGGATACATCAGCATCCGATCCGGATCCGAATTCAGATGAATGCTCTGCAGGATGTTGGTCTTGTCCCTCCGGTTCCTTTCTAGATAAATCGCATGGAATCTCTTCCTCCTTGCCTTCAGACGGGGATTTCTTGCTCAGATCCAAGGGATTATTGCTGAGCTCACACTCAGCGGTGTCGTCTTTGATCCCCGATTGCGAGAGGTTAATGAGGGCCTCAACTGTGGACAGATCCGTCTCGGAGCCGCTCAAACGACTCAGATCGGTGGAATCGTCAGAATCGCAATCCACAACGGGTTCCCCGGAGCATTTCATCCGCTCCATTCGAGCGAGCTCGTCTTCGTTCTCTTCCACCAAGGTTGTTTCCCTGTCGGTGGACGCTTGAGCGTGAACTTTTCGTGCATGCAGACTCACTTTATGCCTGGTGGAGAAGTTGGCATTGCACAGCTTGCATCGGTAGGGCAGAATAATGGCATCGCTGTGCATCGCTTTCAAGTGCGCCCTCAACGCCTTCGAATATTTGAGGTCTGCGCCGCAAATGCTGCAGATCACCTCTCCGTAGGGAGATTCACAATTGGACGGGAGCTCCGTGTCCATTTGATGAGTAGTGATGGCGTTGCGGATCTCATCGCGCGATTTCTTCCCATGCCGATTTCGCAAATGTCTCTCGCAATTCGCCTTCGTCGTGAAGGCGTATTGACAGAGCCTGCATTCGAAAGGACGCTCCCCATTATGCGTTCGCATGTGACGAATCAACGTGCTCTTGTCGGTGCTTGTGTACGTGCACATGTTACACCGATACGGTGCCAGGTTCAAATGCATTCGATTGTGACCTTTCAGAGCTCGAAGGTTCGGAAATACCATGGAACATAAGCGGCATGGGAACTCCCCTTTGAGTTTCATCTCTCGGATCTCCAAGCTGAGGTCTTCGGATTCTTCGGCTGATGTTTCCACGGGCGTCTTTGGAGGCGTGTTCACCGACTCCAGACTGGGCTCCGGAGATCCCGGTGACACGTACAAAGGCTTGTATAAGTCTTTCAACTTTGACGGGATTTCATCTCGGCTCTTCGACGATGACGACCGGCTACGGAGATCCAAAATGTTAAAGAATTCATCATCGTCGTCGTCATCCTCTTCTTCATCCTCCTCGTCTTCCTTCTTGTTCTCATGGGTGGACGAATGAAGTTTTAAGGCACTGGAACTTGGAAAAGCACGCTTGCAGGTATCACATTGAAATCTCTGGTAGGCACTGCTAGGACTGCTAGGGTCGTGGGACTTGAAGGGGTTCTCCTGTAGCAAGCTATTGCTCTCGTGAGATCTGTCTTTAAGGCAACGATGGTTCTTCAAAGTATCATCACAGGAACTTCTCTCATCAGGGTGACAACTCGTATCTGATGCATAGCTAGAGCCACAGTCCAAGTCCTTGTAGGACTCGTCTTCATCATCTGCAGCACCACTGTTCGTGGACGGATGGGAATAAAGACAAGGCTTTTTTGCCGGGACGGGTTCATCACTGATCGGTGAACGTTTCCTTTCCTCTTCTGTGGTCCCATGGGCAGACTTCACGTGCCTGCTCAAGTTCCCCTTGGACGTGAAACCACAAGAGCATTGTCCACAAGGATAAGGCAGCTCACCGCTATGAGAATGCATATGTCTGTCTAAGGCCGTCAGGTTTCCAAAGCTTTTCCGACAGAGGCAGCAGTCGAAAGGTTCCTCCGATTCTGTCTCCTCTTTCACTTTGTGGGCCTGAATGTGGCTGATAAGCAGCTGAAGATCATCTTGCGACTCCTTACAAACCGGACATTCAAAAGGACCTTCTGGCTCCTTCCGATAACCCACGGAACCTCCAGGCATGGGCACCTGATCAGGGTGGTGTCGAAAATTTTCTCCCAATGACAGAAATAAATGCATCTCAAGATCCTCCAATTTACATGAATTCCTGAGCGGACGAACCTTTTTCTTCCTCATGTCTTCAGGCGAGAGCTCTGGAGGTGAATGTGGCCAGGGATACTGCCTCGCTGGTCGCAAGAGTTCTGCGGGAATCCAAAACGAGGACGTCAGTTCAAACTTCAAATGCACATTTCATCGGTGGTCATGTAAAAATCAGCTGGCATTAACGACATGCAATCAGTTTTTTCTACCTCAATAATTCATGCCACGTTCCATCGAAGGTTATAAAATTATCACCGTTTGAAAGCAAACGACAAAAACAAGCGGAAAAGAACAGCGACATTTTCATCACCATCTACATTCCTCACACGGCAGACCCACGATTACCACCTTTCCATCAATTCCACACCTGATCGTGGGATTGCGTCTGAAACGTATCAGTATTATTCCGAGAAAGTATCGGGGGGCCACGTCGTTTTCACATCACGTCGCAGCAGACTAAAATGGGGGCAGAAGAGAGAAAATCCAAGGCCCCGGATGGGGTGAGAGGTTACTAGAGAGGATTTTTCCCTTTGCTCGCTGTATCAAAGGTAAGCCATATAAAAGCTACGTAGATGAACCATTACACGTCTATAAATATCAGCAGTTATACGTGAAAGGAAACACGTCCTCCGATGACAAGCTCACCGAAATAGCACCATGTTAAAACGATCCCTGGTTATAAGTCCCTATCTCTTCTCCCCTTCTCTCGTTCACCAACAGAAAGCACTAAGAGGAGGAGGAGGAACTTTTGAGTCGGTTCGACTGGGCTCGCAAGATAATGGGAAGAGAAGGTCCTGATAACGCTGCTGCCATCCCCCCATCCCTCCGCCGGATGATAAAAGCGGCTAGCATTACGACTTGCGAGACGTAGATAAAAATGAAGCTACCCCCAACACATGCTCCCTACCTGTCGAGTTCCGTCCCACAATGAAAATTTTAATAAGCTCATTCGCTAATGATTTCAACTGCCTACTCTATCAGAGATGTTCAACATTGCCAAATTCCCAGGAAACCAGGACCTGACTGACCCTCGTCTGGTCTGAAAATCTGTGTACAATCATTCAACCCTGTGATCAATGGGAAGGGGGGCAGGGAGGCCGGAGGTGAAAGAAAAGACAGACTGACAGACAGACAGGATGCTGGTCTTTGAGAAGAGATCCTGCCTGGGGCAGTTTCTCAGAACTCCTGGCTCTGGGAGTCTGTCTATATCATCTGTAATAGGGGAGAGGAGGAGAGAGAGGGTCTCCCTCCCCTTGTTTGAGGTTATCGGAGGTCTCAGAGTCCCAGGCTCCTAGATAATAAACCCATCCACCCTTTTCCGCCCCTCTCTTCTCCTGTTCCTTCCCACTTGGGTCCCTTATCAGACAAACACTGGCACAGCTCTTCCTTTCATCTCTTCGCGGACCCTCAAGCTGGAAATGTCGGTCACTCCACGACCACAGGCATGAATACTTTTCGCCTCAACAATTAGGTGGGAAACGAACAACGTCCCGATGCGTTACTCAATTTCGCAGGAGAACTTGGAAGAAGCCTCCAGGCGAGGTCATACCAACATGCCTCGAATCCATATACTCACGTCACTCGTTCCCAGGACGGTGTAAAACCAAGTACACAAATAATCTACGAAGCTGAAGCATGCTGTCATTAGGCGTCTCAAAACTTCATGGGCTCATTACCACTCGCATATATTTTCACTTTCCCTCTCATAGGTCTATGGATAGGACAGAGAGGGGAGAAAAAAAGCCTTGGAGGCTGCAAGGATGCAAGCAAGGCAGTTAAGTGTCTTCATAAGATGACGATGATGATGCTTGAGAATAGAAGCAAGTCATGGACGCGAAATAGTGGAGAGAGGCAGAGAGAAGGGAATTTCGCATTCAGTCCGCGCTCAGATGACAAAAAAAGGAAAGAAGGGAAGGCGGATTGTGATGTGATGAAGCAAGCACCCGAGAGACCATGACATCTCCCGTCATTCCTGACTTCCTCAAATTTGAGACGGATTTCCCGTTTCGAGTCATCCTAGAACTACCACGGGGAAGAAGGAAATAGAGACTTTATAATATATATGGAAGAGAAATATAAGCTCACCTAGTGGGAGGTTGGCAGGAAACAGGGCCCCTTTGCTGGTTGCTGTCGCCATGACTTCCTGCATCTTCTCGTTCTCGGGAACCAAGATATTATCAGCCCTGGGGGACGGAGGGGGGGAAAAAGAGAAAAAAGAAAAGCATATATGAGATCGGTGAGATGAACCTTGTTAAGGAAATGAAGAAGCGCCAATTAAATGAGCAGAAGGCTAACTGTCATCTTGAACCGGAAGTGGATTCTCCCTCATGCATCATCAAGGCGAGTCTATCACATGCATAGAGCCCTAACCGTCCAATGAACTCCTTCCCCCTCCCCCCAAACATGGAACAGTTATCAAAAATTTCTCACGTTTTAAGACACAGAAGCTAGCTATTTTTGGGAAAGTGGAGCAGGGAATTACATCCCCAGGGTATCCCCCAGGCCCCTCCTGGTGTTCGCAATTAAGCTTCATCAAGTTTTCTGGAATACGGATTGCGTCGTACGCCTTTCTTTCCGAAAAAAAAAGACAGGGCTGCGAAATCCCCTTCGGGCTCGTGAGATACTAGCATACGAACGCACGCACACTGTTCTGGTGTACGTAGGCAAAAGACATGTACAGTCGATGCGCATTCTGGGGCTCCGTTAGTCGAAGTCTCCGAGGCCATGTTGGGCCGTGGCCATAGATAGACCAATGGGGACAGATTCTGTCGTTCGGTGGCATCTGACCAAGTCAGCGGGGAACCGTAAAGCCAATCATGTGTAAGGGAATTCCCTACATCCCCTCAGCCGTATATCCATGCCTCTTCATCTCGTGGCTTTGCCATGAACCGCACACGCATACTCCGAGATCTCTTTTTTTTTGTCATCATGATCTCCCTCACGACCCCGACTGGAAACCACACTATGGTCTGAATAGGAGACCTTCACTGATCACATTCCATTATCTTCTCCAGATCTCGCAGGCAGCCCTAAGACCGTCTACCTGGCCCGAGCCGCGAAACGGTCTCCATCTGAGGGGATTAAAAGTGACATTGTTGTCGATTGGTGGCCTGTCGGGAGAACGCGGAAAAACTAGGCTCTCTCACTGTCAAGGCTTTCTCAGCTTCCCCGACAGGCAAATCCATCGGGATAGGCGACCATATTCCGTTCCATAATTATGTGGGGGTGACAATAATCTGGAGCACACGCTAAACTTTTTTCCAAAAAAAATATCACGAGCAATACCATTTCGCCTCGATCGCAGACGAGTCACTTTTCGGTCACGCAGGGGAGAGGAGAGGCGATTGTCTCTCCATTACAAAGGGATCAAAGACAGGAAGAGGCGGTTATGATCGCATGCGGCACGAGACTTGTTTCATCCAGTGTTAGCCATGTGAAACAACACATCCCAGGGATCTTCCTTTCGTTTCTCCATCTAGCAAGGACCACCAGGAGAAAAGGATAACAAGAGAGAAAGAATATTCTATACCCCCGGCTAGTAGGGTTTCTCGGATTGTTTTCAAGGACTCTGGAGCCTGGGCTACCCAAATATAACGGTAAACCCCCCTTTCTCAACGTAGAACCTAGATGAAGCCCAAACCCACGACCTCCTTAGGGCTCGGGGCTGCCATTGTTTTCTGCGCCAAATTTACTCCACCAATAATAATTGACGACCGTTCCGAAACCTCTTAACGCCATAATAACTATCGATTATGGCGTGACGATGACGCCTCTCGACTCAGAATGGAAGGGCTATACCTAGCTAGAACCTAAGGCTGAGGTGCCGACACGTGACATTCAGATGAACATCGCGGGAAACGTATCACGTAACCCACAACAGGGGCCGGAGCTGACCTTGTTTTCGGCCGGGATGAGATGAGATGACCACGGATAACTCATCGGCACTGAAGAGGAGTCATCGCACGAGACGTACGGAATGACTATGAGTCACTAGCGGAGACGTGAGCCACGCGCAGAGCCACTCTCTCTCGCTTACAGACACGGATCCGGCCGGGAGTGAATCTTCTACTCGACTAAGAATTGACACAAGAAGGGACGTGGATAGAAGAGGACGATCGGCTGCTGGCTGCTGCAGCCTGCCCCTTCCCCTTCCTCCCTTCCCCTCCCCCCTCCCTCTTTCCATTCTTTCTCCTCCTCCGCCTCCTCCTTACTCCCGAGTTTTATAATGTATATGCTAGGGATTGGTTGCACCGCAGCCTATACTTGAGGGGCATTTAACTATAAATATAGCTTGTTTGTGTTTCAGTTACTTGGGTTCATTTCCTTGCGCAGCACGAGTAGCTGAACTCCGTGTCAAGGAATGGCTTACCTAACATTGCGGAACTAGATCATGTACTGCTTCTCCTTTCTTCAAAATTTCATTCACTCTTTGTACTCGGTCTTCTTTTCCCTCTGCGGTTTGTCCTTCTTTGACAAATATTGATCAGTGCCCCTGGCACTCATAAATGCCAGCTCACATTCAGAATCCTTCGTAAGAGCTGAAAATGAAATATAAAAGCGCTTTCCTAGTGGCAACTCAGGTTTCTTTCTTTCGCCCTCATAGTCATTCGACGCAAGCATACACTACCATGACGAAGCACGATGAGCGGTGCGCATTGTATAAAGACTTGCTCGGAAGGAAGTAAAGTTGAGCACGTCTTTCGATTTTCGACCAGACGCGACAATTCTGCTTCGATTTTCCTCCTATTACCTCTCACAAACGCGTGACTTGGAAAGAAGTCCGTCTTTCTTTCTCTCTCTCTTTTTTCTTTCTTGCCTGCTTCTCTTTCTCTGCATTTTTTTTTCCTTCTTCCTCGGAGGGAACGGTCTTAAAAAGCAAAAAAAGGATTCTCTCAGGTCGCATTCCCAATGACGGGAGGGGCAGAGTGGTGCTACCCAGCCTGTGATGCCCCATAGGGCCACCTTTCAGGCTTCGGTCGATCCATATAAGCACACGCTCGCTATTAGACACATCGTACATGAGATAATATATCTCTCACTCACATAATTGGGAGAGTGAGTATACCGAGGGTGAGAGAAATGAGGGAGAGGAATAAAGGAGAAAATGGCCCGGTGCTTGGCCTATTGATCCTCTGCTCATGGAATCGTTCCCGGGGAAACCACATGTACACAAAACACAGTTCGCATCTTGACGTGGGGAGGAGACGAGGGGGTCAAGACATCTGGCGGGAGAGCACTGCAGTCTGCGCCCCGCCCCCCCCCCCCTCCCCCCCTCTCTCTCTCTGACCTAGCGGGAAATTTTTACGAATAGCATAGAACTGCGTCCCTTCTCATGTCATCCCAGTGTCTTCACTTTTCACTTTTCCTCGTCGACCGGAGAGTAATGAGGAAGAGGAGATCGGAATCGTTTCCCTCCCATTCATTCTATCTGTCGCATGTCTCTGAATCGGGAACAATGTAAAAGCCATTGTCACGGTGGACTCCTCCGAAAAATGAAGAGAACAATGGACGGGGAAATGTTAATTGGCTCGGAAATACCTGGATAAGGAGAGTGAGAGTCAGCGAAGGTGATTGAATTGAGGGAAGAATGAGACTATCGTTGCTCTCTCTCTCTCTCGCTTTCATCCATTTCGCTCCTGTGAACTGTCGATGGTTGTCATGGAAACCTGGCTGCATCCCCCGTGATACACGACTTTTGCTTCCGGGGCCGAGGCCTGGAAGGGGAGGGGGGCAGCTGGATCTTCTAAAGAATCCTCCCCGTCCACTCCCCCCCACCTGAGGCCCAAAGAAAGGAGAATTAGGAGAGGAGGGGGGGGAGGGGGGGTTTCTAGGTCTTCGCGAGGATGCAGAGAAAGGGTGACAGGTGAGACGAGGGGAGGGGGAGCAGAGAAGGAAAGAAAAGCCCGCCATAATCAAGGAGGCAGAGGGAGGCAGATGTTGGGGCCTGGAACGTGAAGCTGTCCTCCCAAGAGGAAATTAACGCCCTAGCCTTGATCTCTCGCGTCCCTTCTTTCGTGGGCCGTTTCGCACGGAGTGAGAAAAAGAGTCAGGCCACTAAAATCGTGAGATTTCTTAATGGCACTCTCGCCTGGGAAAATCTTCCGGCCCTTCACAATTTCCCGGCTGATGACCGAAATCAAATGAGACGCATGGGATTTTCGGCCTCGGGGGGATTCGGATAGGATCCCATATTCTGCACAGCCAGGTTGACAAGGAAATGGGGCTGAAAGTATAGGCGAGAAGGAACCACAAGATTCCCCGTGGCTCCTTGCACGAGGCCGAGATGAGAGCGACGCCAACTTAATGGCGCACTGCACTCTATCGCTGCGCTACTTTGATATCGAAACTGGGACGATTCCTCATCAAACAATGAAATCAAACATGGGATGAGTGTCATGGAACGAGGAAGAATTCGATCTGGGTCTCTTTTTTTGCTCGGGGAGTCTGACGTATACAGGAAAGTAAGAAAGGGGACAAAAGAGGAGGATGAAGAAGAGGCAAAAGAAAGGAAAGAGACAGGGAAGACGGCGCGGAGTGCGCGGGCTTCGGAGATCCATCCATTGAATTATTCATCCCGAGCATTCTCTGATTCGAGGACGCTAAGGGTTGCCATGGCAACCATCGTTGGCATCTATAGCAGCCAGGGGTCCACCCAGCCGTGTCATCACCGCTACCCAATCCCCTTCTCCTCCTATCCGTATGAATTAGGCCTCGTCGTAGATGCTGGAATGGGAGGGAAAAATCAACACCGATGCAACCCTCTCCATGACGTGTACTTGTCGAACGACTTCCGGGAAATTCTAACATGTAACGAGGTATAAAAAATCATGGAGTTTCGAATGCGATCGGATTGCAGCATGAAGATCCGGCTGATTCCACGAAGTTCCGCGAAACACGCGCGGGGGAAAAAGGGAGGGGGGGGGGAATGGGGGGGGGAGGGGGATAGATATGAAGTCGAAGATGACGTCTGCAGGCACGTGCCCTCTGCTTGGGTGCTGCTCTCATATTGGTACATCTATCTAGCAAATCGGCTTTCGTGATGACCCTAGAGCCGATTCGTGACCCGAAGACGCCACTGCTGGGAAGATCAAGAAGGAAGAAGAAAAAAAGAAAAAAGGAGAAAGAGAGGAGACAAAAGCCGGCCGAGGGTCGGGGACGCAGCGTCTCATTCCCGACTTTTATTTGTTTCATAGAGCGTGAAGCAGATCTCCTGCCACCATCAAGACTATCACGTGAGATGATGAGTGGATTTGCATCCACCTTTTCCACTTGGCAGAGGGGGAGGAAAGAGAGAGAGAGAGAGAGAAGATGGTCGAGGCTCTCAACCATACACGTACGATGTGGAACGAACTAGAAACGAATCTTCTTCGCGGCTTCTTCCTGTCCCTCTCTTTCTCTTCTCGAAAACGATGATCTCGATACCGAGGAAGGAACAAAGCAGGGGCGCAATATATCCCGTGTCTATACGCACAGGTGCTGCCCGGGTGTATCATCATATCATTATCTCTATCTTCTCTCCGTCGCGGTGCCGCTTGAATCTGCTCTCGGAAGCTTTTTTTTTCGCCCACGCGAGTTTCCCAGGATCGCGACGAGACTGATGCTCCATTAGAGCGAGAGGAACAGTCACGTCTTGGCTTCTCTATTGTGCGGCCAATCTGGAATCTTGGTCTGGGAACGGCCCGGAGGTGGACGTTGCCCAGAGTGCAATTATTGTAGCGTAGAGGGGAAGAGAGAGGGAGAGAGACCGTTCAACTGGTCATTGTCTTGGGAGAAATGGAGAAAAGAGGTTTTTCTGCGCCTCAGATAAGTCACTTCCGGCCGCAGGTCATCTAAAATGAGAGAAAATGCTCCGTGATATTAAGAGAGAGAGATGGCGTCCAACATATCACCCTGGCATTACCCGACTCTCATCGACTTTTTTTTTTTCCCTCGGCTTCTCAGCACGCGGAAGGGAAAAGGTCTGGCTTCCGTCGGGACGGTGAGGAACCGTTCTTCCCGTTATCCGAATCTCCTCAAAAGTGAGAGACGTGTGGCAGATAAGGACGAGCCCTCCCTCAACCCTGTTTCGTTTTTCTCATCGTTACGAGATGCAGAAACCAGATGGTTTCGCGCTCAGATAGTTGTTTGTCTTTTCCGCTGCTGGCTACGTCCACTCGACTCGTAGCATCGATACCCACCTGACTCCGGAAATCCCTCTCTCGTCTTCTGTTTTCCCTGCCCTAAATACCTGCATCCCCGCCCGTACCGTCACCGTAATAATTACCCGGCGAGATACTTTGCGGGTGCCATCGGAGGCGACAGCTTGCTCCCACGGAAGATGCGGCCTCTTCTCCCGAGGTCCCCCCCCCCCCCACTCCGACGGCGACACCGGATAAAGAAAAGTCGGGGAGGAAACCCCCGGGAGAAGAAGCGGGGAGGCCGTGGCCAAGGGCAAGGAAAGTCTGAAAACCATCTCGCTCCGCATGCCAAGTATGAAGCGCAACGAGTCAAATAACACCCGAACCACCGACGGGGCACGCGACTCGTGTAATTGCTACCAGATGATGATGTCTCTCACGGGGGGAAGATAAAAATCTCGGAGTTTTCTAATGCCCACGTGCCTCAGGGTCGTGTTCCGGCTGGCTGGACCACGTCGTTTCTAATGCCCTCCCCCCCATTCGTTTCAATATGCTCGCATGCATGTATGTATGGCCCTCCCATCGATTAAGCGGCTTTTTCCAGTGCGTGTGGAGTGCGACTGGTGCGAGACGATCACTTTGGTGAGTCGTCCTTGCCTACCTGGACGAGTCATGATGGAGCTCCTGGACGGGCGGGGGTTCCAAGCCACGAGATCCACAAACTGACTTGGGGAACGAGATGATGGGCCAGGATATTCCAGACAGCAACGGCGTTGCCGGGCAACGCGCTCAGCGCACCATGCCATATATACCAGGACGCAGAATATATACTCCTCTGAATGCAGCACACCTTTTCCCCTCTCCCCTCCGAATGTTCTCTCTCTCGCTCTCTCTCCCTCTCTCCCGGAGGAGGGAGAGCCGGGAAGATCGATCCCGAGGCCCACGTCTCATTTGCTCATATTCAACGGAGATATAGATTGAATTTATGGCCATCCACTCGAGCG